AATGTGGGGGATTCAGGACAAAATTTGCAAGAGCTGGCAGCACTGCTATCCTCAGAATATGCTAGCTAGTAGTTAATTTTATGCAAGAAGCATAGGAATAGAACTGCCAGTACTTGGCTCCAGAATCAGATGTCTGTACAATTTTGCTACATTATTTTAGCCAGCAAAATAAACTGATGATGTTTGAATAAATTGATATTCCACCCAGCAGGTGACAATGGTGCAAATGCATATAAACTTTGTCAGTCTTTCACTATGGGTATGTCTAGACTACATGGCTCCATCGACAGAGCCATGCAGATGAGTTTACTAGACATAGGAAAATGAAGCGGCAATTTAAATAATTGCTGCTTCATTTACATCAAAATGGCCGCCGTGCTGTGCCGATCAGCTGTTTGGCGGCACAGTGTGGTAGTCTGGATGCGCCACGGTTGACAAGGGAATGAAATGAGGTTTATTGGAGCGGTCAACAAAGGCTTCCCTTGTCAACTGTGGCGCATCTAGACTACAGTGTTGTGCCTCCAAACAGCTGATCAGCACAGCACGGTGGCCATTTTGATGTAAATGAAGTGGCGATTATTTAAATCACTGCTTCATCTTCCTATGTCTAGTAAACTCATCTACTTGGCTCCGTCGACAGAGCCATGTAGTCTAGACATACCCTATGTGTTCTAATGTGAGTTGCACCTCTAACATGTTAGATATTTAAATGGTGCTAATCCTCTTGGTAACTAAATATTACTTTGATGGCTACACTAGGAAATTATTTTGAAATAATAATAACCCCTGAAATAACTGTTTTGAAATACCAAGACCACACTTTAGGGAAGCCTCTAAATTAGTCCAAGTCAGGCTCTGTTAATGTGGACACGCTATCTTGACTTAGAGTCCCAGGAAGCACTGGGGAGTAATTACTTTGAATGACGCTTGGGAGGAAATAAGAGAACATTGACTAGAAAGTCACCTGTGGACTTGGTTCCTTAAATGACTTTGTCTCCCATAATGCATTTTTCTAGGTCATGCACTTTGTGAATTATATTAATTTAAGTGCATTATGGGAAGTGTAGTTTGGCCAACGAGCCTGACCCATAGGAGAAATGGGAACTGGAGCTATAACATCCCATTGGACAATAGAAAAGTGCATGTTAATGCTCAAATATTCAAAAGATCAAAACGGAACATTTCTGTGTTGGCACTATTCAAATATTTAGTTTTCGTTGAAGAAGTTTAATTAAAATGTGTTGACATTTGATAGCAGCCTTCAACTTTCTGAAGGGAGGTTCAAAAGAGGATGGAGAGAGACTTCTCAGTAGTGGCAGGTGGCAGAAGCAATGGTCTCAAGTTACAGTAGGGAAAATCTAGGTTGGATATCTTCGGGTATGTCTACACTACAGTGTTATTTCGAAATATCTTATTTTGAAATAGTTATTTCGAAATAGCTTATTTTGAAATAACGCATCTACAGACAAAATGCATTTCGAAATAGCATTTTGCTATTTCAAAATAGTGTGTCCACACTGAGCGGACTCTGAATCGCATTTAAGGCTGGCCGTAACCAGTTCCGGCAGGGCATCAGGTCAGGACTTACTGTGTGAGGCTGCTGTCCGAAGCTATCTGAGGTCTGTGCTTAAAGGGACTCTCCCCCATCCCGCCGGACAGCCAGTTCTCAGGTTTCTCTGCTTGCTTGTCTACCTTGATGAGGGATAGCAAAACATTTTGTCTCTGCATGCCCTGTTTGCCCTCACTTGGGACACCACTGCACTCTGCAACATGGAGCCAGAGCTGCCCCTGGGCACTCTGGTGCTTCTCTTGGACGCATTGCTGCGAGCCTGGCTGCACTTTCTGCAGGCTGACATCCGGGAGGTCCATCGGGGGGCTGTCAGTATCCAGGAGGCCCTGCAGGAGAGTTTCTACCCTGAGGAGCACTAAGAGCCTCCCTGGTCTGCCCACCTGGGGGCTTGAGTCTCATTCCTCCCTCACGTCCTTCCACTTACCGCTCCCTAACTCTCCTTCCTGATGTCAAATAAAATACACGTATTTTCATGAACACAAACTCTCTTTATTTAACATAGCTGGGGGGGAGGGAATGAAACTCTGGTGAGACTGGGGAAAGGAGGCGGGAGAGAAGAGAAGAGAGGGTGTGAGAAGGGAGAGGGAAACCTGGGAGGAGGGAGCTGGAAGGGGGAAGCAAGGGGAAGAAGCGGGAGGGGAATCTCAGGGCTCAAGGTTGGGGGTCTCGCCGGACCAACTTGATTTTCATGCAAACCTTCTCCTGGGTTCACATGTGGCCTTTGGTGACCAGGCTGGCAGCTATCCTGCCATAGATGGCTGCGTTCCTCCTTCTAGTGTGAAGATCATGGACGTTGGGGGCATCCCCCCCCAACCTGAATAAGGTCCATGATCTCCACTCTGGACCAGGAAGGTGCCCGCCTTCTCCGGGCCCTGGCAGGCTCCTGGGAGCTGGCAGACTGGTCCTGAGGAGAGGTGGAGGGCTGGCTGCTAGTGGCTTGCTGGCTCATGTTTTGTGGCGACTTGGTCAGGGTCAACCCCTTTAAGGGCTCAGAGAGGGGGGAGGGAGAGGAGTGTTCTTGGTTGAGGCTGGAGTGGCCACCAAGGCACCCTGTGAAGGCTGGAGGCCCCTTACTTCAATATAAGTGTCTACACAGCACTTATTTCAAAATAGCTATTTCGAATTTGGCATTATTTCTTGTGGAATGAGATTTACCCAATTCAAAATAAGCGCTCCGCTATTTCAAATGTATTTTGAAATAGCGGTTTGGCTGTGTAGATGCTATTAAAGTTAATTTGAAATAACGGCTTTAGATGTGTAGACATACCCAAAGGATGATATATCTGTCTGGTGTAGATTTTTTAAGTCCCAGCTTGACAAAGCCCTGGCTGGAATGATTTAATTGGTATTGGTCCTTTGCGCAGGAGGCTGGACTCAATGATCCCCTGAGGTCTCTTCCAGCCCTAGGATTCTATAATACAGGGAAAAACTACTTCATTAGGAGGGTGGGGGAGAACTGTGATGGGTTCTCTAGGGAGGTGGTGGAATCTCCATCTCTTGAGGTTTTTAAGTCTAGGCTTGACAAAGCCCTGCCTGGGATGATTTAGCTGGGAGTGATCCTGCTTTGCGCAGGGGGCTGGACCCGATGGCCTCCTGAGGTCTCTTCCAACCCTAAGATTCTGTGACACTGTTCACAGAATTTTTTTTTTGAATTTTCATTCTGCAGAAGAAGTTGATATTTCAACTCTTTGTCTCATTTCAGGACAAAAATAAATGTTGAAATTTCCCACAGGATGGTAGCTATGACTTTTCCTCCGCTCTAATCATCATACCTATTTTGCAGATGTGTGGGAGTTTAATATGTGATTTTAGGTGAAAGGATCTGTTGTCTTGCTCTCTGAAAGCTGACCTATTTAACAATTAAGGTAGATGTTTGAATAAAATAATTAGTTTTCTGTCTCACAGTATCGATAAAGATTTGAATGGGCATCAAAAATGGATGCTATTAAGAATTATTAACAAATTTCTGCTTTGGTTCAGGTGGCCCAATACAGCATAGGTAACTCATTACCCCAGGAGGATTCTAATTCAGAAGCATTTTACCCTTGAACTATTGTAACAAAGAAAAGCTATATTAAAGTGTGCATTAGGGATTTGGGTTATTATAAATTACATTCTTTGAAATCTCATTTAGAACCAGGAACTAAAATGATGTTGGAAGGCTCAGAGGATTAATTCTTCCTGAACAATAGACTGTCACTGATCACTCTGTAAAGTAATTATGCCAAATTTAATTATACTACAAGCACATTGTATGATAGTCATAGTGTGCCCAAAAGAGAGTTTGAAAAAGTGCCACATAAGTGTATGGACTAGCTTTGGGAGCACAGTGGCAAATTACACATGTAATTGAGTACAACTTAATATCAGGCTTTGTTAATTAAGGGTTTAGGGTTATATGGGAATGGGGCTGGTTGGCACAGTACATGCTTTTCAATGTCATCAATGTAATGAAACAAACCAACTCCCTTCCACTTCCCCAACCTTAAATGCTGATAAAATTTACTTTACTTTTCTATTTAAAATATACTGAGTCAGAATAGTTTGGTGCTAGCTAGCATCAGCAGTAGCCAAATTGTCATAAGGCCTACAAAACTATACTTGCTGCCTCAGTAGGGGACCATGCATTTGATGTCCAATTTATTCCTGTTTTTGTGATGTCTCCCTGAATGTACCCCTAAAAATCATGCACCGTCATATCTGGTTCCTTCTCCAATTTTATGTGATTGCTCTGCATTCCTGTTGGATATTTGAAGCTGTGACTTTAATTGCAAAATTAGGCACCTATCCTGGAAGCTGTTTCACCTGATGCCAGCCTGGAGCCCCATTGAAGTCAATGAGCACAGAGTACTGCTTGCTTTGGACAGCTTTCAGTGCCACAGTGGATTAAAGTTCTTTAGTGGTATGTTTGCCAAAGCCAGTCAAACCTTGGATGAGAGCTAGGTGTGCAGCAAGACTGTGGTGGGAATAGTTATGTGAGATACAGATGGATAAAATTCATGAATTAAAGAAAAACGAACGAGGATTGGGAAAGGTACTTTATTGGAAAGACATATAACAGTGACAGCAATTTGAACTGCAAAAAGTGTTTGTGCCGGTGCTATAGGAGCACATAAAAGTAACGGTGAAACTAACAAAGAGAAAGAATGTGGCTTCCAGGAGGAACAAGTTCATTTGCAGTGAGAGCTGTGTTTTTCATCTAGTACTTAGAATATTTTCAAATAAAAATGGTGAGAGACAAATTTAGAGTTGCTGTAAATGGGTGCAGGAGTGAATTATATTCACTTACATCAGGTCTGACTGTGGTCTTACATAAAAAATTGAAAAGTTGAACAACAAAATTTGAGGCACATTAAAGCCTAATAGGCCTACATTACCATGTTTTATTTGTAATGATTTTACCTTATTTTTCTGTCTTTTCCTTCTCTAGAAATAAATCGAGGCATTTCCTGAACTCATTGATACTGTTTGATTTCTCTATTTTTTTATCCAAATCATGACATCACTACCATGACGGAGAAAAGATCTTCTCTATGGCACAATCGATTCTACTGCTGTAGAACGTGACGCTGGACCCCAGCTAACCAGCATCCAACTCCATGGAATCTGCATTCATTCTGTGTAAAGGGTTTGGGAACAGATGGGGATAAGCTTTGTCAAACTGTTGATATGTCTACACGGCAGCGTTATTATGGAATAGCAGACATTATTTTGAAATAACAAAATGTGTGTCTACACAGCAAGCTGCTATTTCAAAATAATGTTGAGCTGGAGGACTTCTTATTTGGACTCCTGTAACCCTCATTTCACGAGGTGTAAGGGAAGTCAAAGGAGGAATGTTCTTCTTCTGACTTCCTGCTGTATAGACATCACAAAAAAACAAGTTAAGCTATTTCGACTTCAACTATGCAATTGACATAGCTGCAGATGTGTAGCTTAATTTGACTTTTGCCCTGCAGTATAGACGTGTCCTGGATGTGTTAACCACTCTTCCTGCAAAGAATGCAACAGTTTTTCAGGAGTTTGCTAAAGTCCTGAGCGATTGTAGCATCAACATAGCAGTTCTGAGACTGCTTTTAACTATTTAACCTATATCCCCAGTACTTAGTCTTGAACAGCTTAAAGCTAGAGCTGGCCAGGCCAAGAAAAAAGTGTTTTTTTTTAACTTGTTATCAAAAAACAAAGAGGCTACGTCTAGACTGGCCCCTTCTCCGGAAGAGGCATGCAAAGCAGGCAAGTCAGAATAGGGAAATCCACGGGGGATTTAAATATCCCCCGCGGGATTTAAATAAACATGGCCGCCGCTGTTTTTCCGGCTTGGGGAAAAGCCGGATAAGAGCGTCTAGACTGGCGCGATCCTCCAGAATAAAGCCCTTTTCCGGAGGATCTCTTATTCCTACTTATTCAGCAGCGGCTGAATCAGGACGCCTGGGGCAGAGCAGCTGGGGTGCTCCGGGTTAGTCCAGTAGTGCCCAGAGCGGCGCTGCAGGACCAACCGGCAGCGCCGCAGCTGCTCTGCCCCAGGGTCCACAACAAAAGCCTGGTCTGCTGGGGGGGGAGGCGCAGCTAATGGGGCCCCCCC